TGGTGAAAGAGACTGATAACCGAAGGCTTGCTCGTATAGTATATCACTAGCATTGACTACAACAATTTTCGTACCTGGGATGTGAACGTTTTTAAGAGACTGTTCGCTAGACTGTCGATCTGGACAATTTGAACCACTGGTAACAAAAACAATGAAGATAAGAACAAGCATAGATGACAACAAACATGTCATCTTTTAATACGATTTGACAAAGAATAATCTTTTTCGTTTTGTTGTTTGGTTAAAACATCATAAAGTAGAGGAAAATAGCACACTGTTATAAATCATGATAAGAAGAGTGATAAGAATAAAGTCGCTTTGTCGTCAGTTTTTTTTCTGTCTATTAATAGGCTTGATCTCATACTATAACTGCAATATCATCAATATTTGAAAAAGTTTAAAGACAAATACACACATTGTAGTTAATCGCTGACTATGAGTGTATTTATGGTATTTATAGTCACTATCCTGAGAGTACGTTAAAGAGTTTTATCAACTACGATACGTTACATCCTTGCTGAACGGTTCATCGGATAGTTTTGACTTTATTTATCTATCTGTTCCATTGGAAGAGGGATGATAAAGTGTCTCTAGTTTAGTTGTATATTGAATCGGATGGATGAGAAATAGAACGGTCATTGAAAATGGACACTGTGAATGGAATTTGTATGAAATGACACTAAAATAAATAATTTAATCAGAGCATCAGTGAAGAGTGATGTGGATATATCATCTGTCGCAATGTCTAACAAAATATTAGCACACATTTTCTGATATTCTTGAAGATGAAGGCGGATGAGTTATAGCACTAGACGTTAAGTAGCTAGTTACATGAAAAAGTCCCACAAACGAAAATTTCTTATAAATCAATCAGCTACTTAAATCATTTAATAGCTGTATATTGTTTTAAAAAGTATCTCTTATTAGAAGCTACGATGTTCACTATAGGTTTTTCTATTGTTTACCTACTCTTCTGCTCATACCAATGATGATTGAAGGCGCCTTCCTAGACAAGTGGCTGGTGGCACTATTGGTGAACAGTAGATGAAGAATCATCCTCATTACACTCCTACTATTAAAATTGTATCACATCTATTTCAATGAGAAAAGTGAAAACATTCTTTGAGCTCATTTGAAAAAGATTGATCACTATCGACTATATTTTCTAAAAACATTTGTCAATTCTATGTTTATATAGGCATTTATCAATATGATCTAGTTCTTTTTATATTTACTTCCTCCATCCATCGTTGGTACAATTCAGCACGACTTCGTGGATGTTTTAAATATTCAAGATCGTTATATTTAATAAAAACAACTTCATATGGTTCCAAGGATGTTTCATCAAGACTTTTGTCGAAATATGGATTAATATTTTTATTACATTGACGATTATGAGATTCGGAAAAATTTATTGTTTGATATTTAGTTAATAGACAATCAATCATATAACCTGAATCAAGTATTCGATTTGATGAGGGTAATTAACTATAGAAAAAGGCATGATATTTACTTGGATAACAATCAAATATTCCTTCTTCTTGGGTTCAACCACTATTTTCAGGTTTCAACATAATAGATAATCCAATAAAATATAAGATTGAGCATGTTGGACTTTTTCATTAAGACGATTTGTAAAAATTGAATACCAATGAAATGGTTCTTTCGATTCAATTAAGAATTTGAGAAAATAATGTGGAAAAAATGAATCATGAATTGATGAATTGATCAATATGATATATTTATATTGAGTTAAGTTTAATTGTTGACGATTGCTCTTATTAATCATTACTGAAGTTTGATTCTTCCATGGGTTTTCAGTTGTATATTGATCAATGAATCATCGAAATGTACTAAAATAAAAACATTTATTTTCATGTTGAATATAATGAGCATTGCTTTTTGGTAACTGTGGCATTTGTGTTTTATTAATTTCCATAAGCATGAAGATGAGTATCTGCATAAACATTAATAATACCTGTGCATTGATAAATGAATTTGTTTTATTAACTAGAAAAATATAATATGGACAAGATCGAATAAAAAATTAAATTCTTATCTTAGAGTTATCATACTACGAATGGAACTAAGTCATCTTTATTTTTAGTTCTTTTAACATTCACATTGGGACATTTAGAAACTAAAGACGAAAACTGTTAGCGCAATTCTGAGAGATTAAAATATGAAATACGATGTACCTACTGTTATTGTTATACTCTATACATCTTTGGTAGAAATACGAGGGATGAAGATTTATCGATCTCGATCTCTGTCTAGAGAAAACTATTCCAGAATTCTGTACGTATCACATCTAAAATAACACTTCAATACTCATTTTTTAATTTAATTAGTCCACGACTAACACTTTTTAGGATCGTCTCTCTTGAATTCCATTCTAATTCCTATGGCTTATAAGCTATATTTGCTTGAAGTCATAGAATATTTTACTATAAATTTGAGTTCAAGTCTCGACACATCTATAACTTGGACACATTTCTTCATTCTTCTTTTACTTAATCCTTCAGAAATGCAATAACGAAGTAGTTAACATATTGTAACGAGCCGTTATTGATATACGGTCTATGATGGTCTGGGTGTGGGTGTGGTTTAATAGATCATGACACCCGTACGCACACCCTCTATTAGAACATAATTGATAAAATCCAGCACGATTTTGTGTTGGAAAATAAAATAATAAAAGTTGTCTAATTAGAAAGAAAGTATTTGATTGTTTTCTCTTCATTAAAATTATACCAATCAAGTAAACGCTGTTCACAAATATTCTTTGGTATTAATGATGGTGAACGCTTTAAAAACCTTGAATGGATAAAATCAATTTGATAAAAATGTGTTTTTACAAAGACAACAAAGGACTTTAGGTAATGTTGGTGTATTAATCAATGAAATCACTTTTTTCTAAATATATTTATTTTAATTAATTAAAGAGATTTTTATTTTTTAATTCTTAACATCTGTTGATGAGAAAATGAACGTGAGAAATCGATAGAGAAAGTGTTTGTATTTTGTATATAATGGTTAATTACCGTTATGGTTCGTTTGTTCTATGTTCTCTCTCTGCTATGTATAGTAATCTCTTTACTAACAACTGACCTTCTCACTTTCTGTGTTCTTTCATGGGACAACTACTCTATCACCTGCATAAGAAATGTACAATAAAAAAAAGGACAGTTATGTGAGTACAGATGACATAAGACATCATCGTGTTGAGAAACATAGGCAGTCACTCTAACAAACTTTATCTTATACATTCTCTTGCCAGTATTGATATAAATGAGAACATAGTGAAATAACTGTCGTTTTTTTTGCCAAAAGCATGATACTATTTCAAATTAGAATATCTGTCAGATCAAAAAATTTGGCATATTCAATTATATAATTAAATTCAATTTGATGATTTTGACAAATTGTTGTTGCCGTCTAAAGATACTTCATTCTTTCATTTTTATTATCATAAAAAATGATAAATCACAAAATATTCGAAGATTATGCATTTCTACATATGGTAGTGGCGATTCTTTGCGTTTACTATCAATTGTAGAAACATATATTTTATTCTTTACTACAACAGGATTATTGTTTTTGCATGATTTTTGTTGTTTTGTTTGATTTACAAACAATTTCGAGAACTTTACATATAACAGTAATCAAAATTGCACAAAGAAAAATAGGAAGAATAATTTGTCCTGTTGAATTTGGATTATACCATCATGACGAATGATAATAAGTTGTAAATGATGACGAAGAAGAAATCATGTTAGAAAATTGAGTGAAATTACTCCAATACTACCAAGAATGCTCCAAAGAACGAATAGTGGCGTTAGATGGTACAATAAGTTTTCGGGTTGTTGACTGAGCAGATGTAGGTCTAACAGTTACTAGATTTACAGGAATTGTTTGTACATGAACTGGATGAATGGTAGGTGCATTTTGTATACCATCGACGATGATGAAGAAAGTAATAACGAGAAAAAAAGGTGAGATTATATTTTCCTGTTTATATTCCTAATATTGAGTTCAACTAACGTAAATCAATGATTGTCAATATATGGATTTTCTCTAATGATTATGGATTTGATCGACGAGGTACAATTATTCGATAAAAGTTGTTGCACTTTTAATGAAGTTATTCAGGAGTGCGACGATGGAGTGCATTGAGGATTGGCTTGATTTTCAAGAATTGCTCTATGATTTGTTTGAATGTCAGAGTTTACATGATCAGCATCATATGCGTGAAAGTCACTACGAAAGAAACCAATGGACACTGCCAAACAGTAGATGCTTCATATCTTCGATGTACAAAGAAGACATTATACAGCATCGGAGTGCCTTAGAACAGTGTCTCTACTTCTTGAAATACGATCTTTCACAAGAAGCAGAGAAGAACTGTCCTTGTGGATCTGATTCTTCTTGCACTTATCAACTGGTATATCATTGTAATTCAATAATGATTCAATATCCGAATGGTGCATTTAATGTCTACAATATCAGAGGAGATCGGATTTGGTGAATCCCTGATTTTATCTTACTTAATAGAACTATCAAATGTCGAAGATACGTAGCTCTGAAATTCGCCGATACAATACGCTAGTGGAAACACAATATCTTTACAAAACTCATTTTCTTCTCTATTAACGTCGAATGGCGGTTACGATTATTTCTGTCACAATCACTCATGAGCTTTTAATAATCGCTCATATCATTTCATTGATCGAAATCTCATCTCAATCCTCTATCATTACTATGTATGACGAAACAGTGAGCACCTGATAATGCTCATTGCTAAGGTGAAATGTTAACATTATCGTAGCTCCATTCACCCCTCATCCTCACTCACCCTCAAAATCTAATTGATTAAAAGATTTTCCATTCATCGAAAAGTGCTAATGTTATGAACATGAATGAAAAAAATAAAACTGTGAAACAATACATTTAGATTTATTCAAAACAGAACTTTATTCAAAAGATGAGGCAATGTTACATTAGTCAGCCAGAAATATAAGCTAAAACAAAAAAATGAAATAGCAAATCTTAGACCAAAATAATTACTCTAGACCTTAAGTTAATTACCTGTGCATTATTCATTTGTCCGTAACGACCTTTGTAAAAAAAGAAAAAGAAAGAGTATGCAACAGTTAAAACTTAATTGTGAAATAAATTCTAAACAATAAAACAATCTCATGAACTTACAATAAATAGCGAAGTGTTCACTATTGCGTAAGGATAAATTACGTTCAGAAGTTTCGAGAGCATAACGAGCACGTTGAACAATTTCTTCGGGTGGTAATGGACTGAAATTCACGCAGAAAAAAAAACAGAAAGAGAAAAGGAACACATTATTGATATTCAAATACCAACATACTTCCATCTGTCATCCCTCCCATTATGAACCCTTGCTTTATGTTGGCCAATTACGTCCCAGATCTCTTCTTCGATTATTCTACCTCCAATATCCAAGCATGCACCTGAGCTAAAAAATCCGGTAACTTTACCTTAGTACCAACGACAAAATGAACTGCGAATCGTATTTTTGATCTAAAATATAGAGTTTACGGTCAGAAGAAATTTTTATAGATATACATGAATAGTATAAATGTAGATGTTTATAATACAAGTAAAAGTTTAATATGAAGATACAAAATGTTGATATACTACCTGAGTTTTTTTAATACATTGTTGAATAACATTTGTTCATAGGTCATTGCATGCTTCATTGGTCGCATTCTCTAATTCAATTTGTGACTTTTGGATTCTTTTGTCAAATTTTCCGTTTGGCAATATTCCATACTAGATCAACAGTGCTAGACCAGGACTATAATCTAGTCATTGGCGCAATTCAGTATTAAATGCTTAACCAGAGGATACGACCAATGAACAAATGTTATTCAAAGATTCAAGCAATATATCTACATTTTGTATCTTCATATTAAACTTTTATTTATATTATAAACATCTACACATGTAGTATTCATACATATCTACGAAAATTTCTTCTGACTATAAACTCTACGGTTTAGATCAAAAATACAATTCGTAGTCATTTTGCTGTTGGTAGTTAGACTAAGGAAGCATAGTGAAGGTAACAGAAAGCGAAGTAAGTCGAGTCTTGGTAGTAAGGCAGAACCTTCTGGCTACGCCACTTAAAATAAAATTCGATTCGAACATTATCTTACAAATGAATAACTTTGCCATTTCCTTAAATTGAAATAACAAAAAAATGATCAATTAATCTCTGCGTTCTATTCGAAGATCAACAGTTACATACCAACATAGATTGCCCAATAGATGGACAATCCTCTTTTAAACATAATTATATCTCCAGGTTGTACACTTTGTAACCATTCATGTTTTTCTTGTGCACTCATTGCATTTGACGCATATGACACAGAATTACCCATAATAGATTGATTTTCTTCTTTTCAAAAGATTGAGAGATATAAATAAAATTATCTAAAATAGAAAATTAGACACAAAGATACGACAAACTCTCGTGTAAAAAAACAAATTGTTTTCAAATTACATTTGACACGACGACTTATGTATAAATTTTGAGATAGAAAAAGTCTCACGAATAGTAGAAAAAACTTGAAAAGAAATGTTTTTTTAAGATTTTATCTCTGACTGTTGCATAGAAAAGAGAGGTCGAAAGTAAAAAGACGATGATGAAATGTTTAGTTGACTTCTGGTCAAACTTTCGGTCACACACATTTCTATACAGACATTAATTGACTAAGATTTTTAGAAATTCTCTTTACTGAAAGTATAGAGTCTTACGATCGAACCTGATTATTTTCTTGTGAACATTTGTTTGTTTATTTTTGTAAAAAATTCCATAGAATTCATTGAATGCCATTAGTTCTGTCTGTCAGTCAATCATAGATAGAAAGATGATATAATTATACATATAAACATGTTTACATAAGTGCCATCCTTTTTTCCTTTATTTTCTTTAAGATAAGATGCAATATTGAGCTTCAAACACATTTGTTCTAATTATTAGCTAAGCATATGACCAAGAAAAGACGATTGCGAGAAGCGTAAATTATTTTATCAAGTGAATAGGTTGCATTTTTAAATTAAAAAAAAATATTACATCGACATAATCATTTACTGCATTATATACGGAATTTTATGATATATCTCTTTGTAAAAGTAACAATCGGAGAACGCACAAAAATCTATTTTATAGTCAACTTATTCACAAGCATTCGTTAGAAGAGCTTTTATCTCGTTTGCCGACTGTTTGGATGTTACTGTTGCTTCTTCGCACTTGGTTTATGTTATTACAATCAAATTTTTGCTATATGAAAATGTGCGTTACGAATGAATGATAGAACATCAAAATAATGACATTGCACAACCAGCTGTCTCTGTACAGAGTATTTGTAAAGGTTACAAACACTCACTGTTAGATCCGCGAAAACGTTGTTGTGTATATGTAGTTTATTTCGCAACTAAAAGTACTCTCTTTTCATATAAAAATAGCGGATATTTATACATGAGATTTAGGCAAGAGATGAAACATACCAAGGGTAGTTAGAATACATTTGGAATATCCTTAAATTATCATACGAAAGAAAGAAAGGAAAAAACTAAGCGAAAACGATAGGGAAAATACCTGACAGAACGAAAGAGATCGATATAGATGACATCAAGTATATATAAGAAAAGAAAGAAAGAGAATGAAAATACATATGTATAACACAACACAATTGTCTCTTATGGCACCTCTATAGTATATGTCATAACATCCACAAACACCCCGATAATAATCCTATGCAATGTAGTCTCTAACGTGCATTTCACGAACGTCCATGAACACTGAATCGTTCTCTGTGTTTAGAATTCAGACCGTGAATATTGTACTTTGGAGCATATAAGAAAACACTAACAGCCATGAACACGGCGCAAATACTGCTATTTAATACAGCCTTGGACGTAGTTTCAGCATCTACAAAAAAATGTCCTATCATCTTCTGCGTTTGGAATTGAGATTATTATAACGAAAAATGGAATCAAGATCGAGAGATACGATGATATGATGGAGAAGATCCGGATAGCACCGAATCGTAATGATTTATTGAATAATGAATGAAGAGAACAAATCAGTAGCACTCTGCTAGTAACGACTACACATACGTACTATCCACTGCGATACACACACACAACTCTCGTCTGTAGTATCTCTCGACTCTACTCACTTTCGTCGTATCTTCCTATGAACTGAATACAAATTCAGAGACAGACTCCAAAGAGAAAAACTAGGCAGAGGGAGAAAGAAAAGAAGAAGCGAGAAAAAGCACGAGAGAGGAAAAGGTCCAGAAAAATATTACACGTTGCGTTGTACACACAGAGATAAGGGATGTCGTACAAAAGGACAACTGTTGTCTGATACAACATGGATTAGCCTTAGAATAAAAATAAATGGGTAATTGACAATATCATATGACAAAGAAAAATAAAAGTACAGATAAATGATTTTTTTTAATCTAATAAAATAAAATACACATGATATTACTGCCAACAAGAACTGATATAAAGAATAACAAATGTATGGGGTTATGAAGTATGTATGGAAAAACTCATTGATTGTGTGTTAAAAATATAGTAATGAAATAATGTTTCGACGAGTACGTACTAAGTTCGTGTGTAAATATGATGTCAATAGCAAATGTAAGAGATTGTGAAGTTTAGTAAAGTAGATGATGAATGATGTATAAATAAAAATATCGATAGATGGATGGTTTGTTTGGAGGATGCATGAGGATAAGGAAATATGGTATTGTTAATGTATGAATGAGTCATATTGTTTTTTTTTTTCGTTCTGAGTGTGATATAAAAGTTATATGCATGAGTAGAGTCTGTATGAGTTACTTACGATAGTTAAATAAGAGAAACGGATTGATTGCTTTTCATTATGTTTTTTTTTTATTTTTGTTTTTGTTCTAGGTCGTCAGAATAAATGTAAAAGTAACGCTCGTCGCTTCGACTCGCTTAGCCCTCGACTAAAGAATTAAATTTATTTACATATCATTTTATTTTATTTCTCTGAGATTACTGATGGTAACATCAGATGTACCTGAGTATACGTGTTACAATACTATGATTCTAATCTGTAATAGTATAGTTAACTTAGAATTTTAATTATTCTCAGAATTAAAATCGTCATTTTTCTCGACTGCTTATAGACCTCTTCATATCAATTCAATCTTTTTTGACATTTTGACTATAATTATCATTTTTATATGTTTTTTTTTCTACATTGAAAGATTGTATTGAATGAAGGCAAGTTAAATTTTTTTGCTTGACAATTGTTAGTTCATTGAAATGGATATATTATATATTTTATATCATTCCAAATCAACTCTATTGAAGATATTAGAATGTATAAATCTTTATTAATTATTTCATTTCATACGAAACGAATAAAGTATGATCATGTAAAAATAGTTGTAGTTTTTCAACAAGATTGATGTTCTACATAGATCTAAAGTGCTGAAATCTTTCTTAGTATTTATGTATTTTTTTTTTATCAAACAGTTAAAATTTAGAAAGGTATTTTAGTGAATAATAAGTCTTTTCTATTGAATACATAATAGTGTTTCAAGAAAGTTAAATTTAGTTAACATCGTCAATCAGGAATACAATGGCTTCTTGGATGAGATCTTCGAGTATAATCACGTTTACAAAAGCAACCTTGGACACATTGATATGTACATGGTTTGAAATATCTTACATGTCTCACATTAGAACATGTAAGAGGACAAGGTGAACCACACATTTGATATTCTTGATGAGCGCCTACACACATTCGTTCGAATAAAAATCCTAAAAGATCAAAGTTTCATAATAAAAAAATGGATAACACATATAAAATACTATGTGTTTGAATAGCAAAAAATGTTAGAAATAAGATTAATAATAGAATAACATGAGCAGACAGAGTCATATCTAATATGTCAATGAAATGTGATATTTGTTTGAAATGATTTCTTGATTCAAGATGAAAAAGAAAAAGAAAAAGAAAAAAGAAAAGGTACACATAGACAACAGACTAATAATGATTGATGAGAGGTAGAGTATACAATATACAATTCATTTAGCTCTTATTTTCAACTATTTTACAAACAATCAATTTACACTTGAAATTTTAAGTGTATTTCTACGATACTGATTAACTTGATTTGAAAACAATGAAAATGAAATTGTCATTTTTATGATTTAGATTAGAAGATTGAATGAAGATATAAATAACTCAAGAACTATATCAAAATAAAATAGTTTTCTTTCTTTGGATAGAGTTATATGTTATCGTCATGTGTTAATGGTAATTAACAATTACAAAAAAAGTATTGTTATCAATAAAATAGTAAAACAATCCATCTTTATAACGTAAGAATTCAAATAAATAAAAACATTATGGTTCATCTATTTCCTTTTTAAAATGTAATAATATTCACAAAAAATAGAAGCTTTTTATTCAATACAATTCGTTCTAACATTTATTTCGTCCAATACAAGGACTTTTAGTACTGTTATCTTTGCGAACATAATTAGACTTGCAGAAACAATCTTTAGTATATTGTTTTGTACCTATTTCTAGCTTATAATCACATCTTTCAGGACAAGCGGTACTACACCTTGTATATTGTTCGTGTGAACCACATTTATCATTAAATTTTGATTTAATAAAGTCAATAAGATCTACAATTGAAAAGAAAAAAATAAATTAAAATTATCAAGAAAAAGACTTGATCTATAAAATATTACCTCTTTGAATATGGCGGGTGGGTGTGTATGCTGGTAAGGGCACGACCTCCACTAACATTCA